CACACACACACACGCACACACACACACACTCATTGTCTGGTTTGGGTGGATCCAGACCTGTGGTTTTATAGCACTTTTAACAGACGCACAAACTTTTAAGCTGATTTGGAAACCCAAAAACCCAAAGCCAGATCTGATGTGTGTGTGTGATAGTGGGTGTGATAGTGGGTGTGTGAGTGGGTGTGTGAGTGTGTGTGTGTGTGTGTGTGCGTGAGTGTGCATGAGTGTGTGAGAGTTTGTGTGTCTGTGAGTGTCTGTGAGTGTGTGTGTGTGTGTGTGTGTGTGTGTTGATATCAGGTGAGTGGTCTGCAGCAGAGCAGGGGAATTCAGAAGAGACACAGGAACATTTCTCACACACACACACAGGAAACAGAAAGACAGATTCATGAGATGTCGAGGAGTCATTTCAGACCTTTGTTTAGTTGATTATTTCCTCCTACACTTATATGTTCCAGCTCTAGGTTTAGTGTGTTGTCTGGGATTCAAACCCAAACCTCGTGTTGCGAGCGTCGTGATCCAGCAGCTGATAAGTGCCTTATAATGTCAGTCAGAAACTTGATATTTTAGTTCTTCCTGATCATTTCCAGACATTTCCAGACACTCTGACGTGATCTTTGCTTCCTCCTCGTGACCTCAGCGCATTTCTGAAATAACAGCATGTTGAATATTTCTGGGCTTTATCGTCTGTGTGTTTGTGTGTGAAGGACGATACTTTGATTCATGTCTGTGTGTTATTGAGAAAGAGACTCATAGATTGTGTTTAAATGAGCTGCGGTTTACACCGATTACTCTGTCCGTCTGTGTGTGTGTTTGTGTGTGTCTGGTTTAATTTACTCTGTGTCCGTCTGTGTGTGTGTGTGTGTGTGTCCTGCTGTGATTATGGAGGTTGATTTTCAGCTGTCCAAACATCCTCTCACTTACACAATCACAACACACTCTCTCTCTCTTTTAGAGATTGGCCAGGATGGCCAACTAGTCGTCCACCAACCAAATATTCACTTATTTTTAAGTACTTTTAATATTTTTTTAATATTACATTTTAACCCTAAAAAGGGCAAACCCATAAAGACATCAGAAAATTAATTTAATGCTATTTTCAATCTTACTGGGACTCAAATAATACAATTTCATGATTTTTTTCAAAACTTGACTCTTATATTTGATTGTAATGTTTGTATTCCCCAGGATACGTCTCTGCTTTGTTGGTATAAATTCACCGAAAACAGAAATCTTGTTTATCAATGCTTGTTACAGCATGGTTGTAATTCCTGAACGCTTTGGTGTACAGACGTAACGTTGGTCTCTTTTTAAAGAAGACACATAGCAGATTATTGCTGAAGTGAAAGCATTTCAAAAAAAGAAAGTATAAAAAAAGTTATAAAAGTTTAAGTTTACAGTAAAGATAATGTAGTATACT